AAAACGTGAAATCTAATGCAATATCAAAAACAGAAAAAGGTAAACGGTTACAGAGATTATAAATAGTTTTCTGATAATTCTCAAATAACGAACGAACGAATATTGTGTTACAATAAGGGCATGGGTTATTCAAAATAGTTAACTTACTGTTTACCTGTTTATAACTGATTGTATACGAGAATATTGGGAAAGTACAGTTTCAACAAGTGAAATATAAAATGAAAATTTTTTGTTTTATGTGACGAAAGAAGGATAGGATTTTTTTATTAAAGGTTATTTATCTCTAGTATGTATGGATAGCAATAATAAACCCACCTAACGAACTTCATTTATGACCTATAAAATTATAAATACAATATAGAAATTTTATTTAATTGGTTCTGTTTGTAGTAGAGTTTCAGAAATAGAAAATCGAAATTTTTAATTTCAAAAAAATGGAATATTGAAAATTGGAGGTTAATCTAAGTTCTATTCGATAATAGGAACAGAATTTGTAATTTGTATAACTACGGTCAAATATCAATTTCAATTCACAATTTCCAAATATCGAGACCTACGTTTAAGCCAATCGGCAATATATTTTATTGACCAATCGAAATCGTGTTTTTGAATCGACGTTAGATTTTAGTAGATGCTCTTAGTTTCTCGTGTTATACGTTTCTAATTGATTTGAGTAGCCTCTCTGCTGTAGAGCTTAGAAAACTACAAGTGATCACGTCTTTTGGAACACTGAAACTGATAACGCCCATTAGAACTTTGGAATTGACAACGTTCATTAGTGCCGTTTACTTGTGGAATTAAAAGACACTACCCCTTGAAATTTATTAAAAAAATTTAGGAATGCTGTTTTTGAGAATATCATCCAATATTGTAGCCAAATTACTTATACAGTGTCAAGTTACTTTACTACTATTTTAATGGCACAACAGTATTTTTGCATGGGCTGATTTAATAATTTAAAAATTCTTGTTATGCAAGTATCGGAAACTAAATTTTAGAAAAATTGAAAATATTAAATATTGTTCAGTAAAAATTTAAAAATTGAAATTTGATGCATTTTTTTTTTTTACTTGAATTTTGTGAGGTGCAATTTCTCAGCTCATCCATTTTTAATAAAACAAAAATTTTTTTTTAAAGGAACAATATTAGTTAAATTAATACCCAGGTATAACAACAGCAGGGGCTAACAAAAGTAACAAAAGAATTTATTTTCAGTTAAAAACTTTTTCTTTTCGGTTTAATTTTAGATTTTTAGAAGATGTGTACAAAAAACTAGATGTGTACATACCATACATGCAAGCACAGAAAAACACACAAACACACTGTTGGACGAAGATGAACAAGGAAATGAATAAACAAAAAAAAAGAGGATTACAATGCATTTTTAAAAATTCCTTCCTTGTAAATTTAATCTCTGTGTCCCTTTTTTCTCATTTTTTGTTTTTTTTGTGTCCTAAAAATGAAAATATAATTTCTATTTTGGTCCAGACACACATATCTACATACATACATTATACATGAATATTAAGGCTATTAATTGTTGTTTTGTAATAAAAAAACGTTAAAAAATTTTTTTTTATTTTTTGGTCAACCGAAATTTTTTTTTTAGGTATTAATGATGTTTTCTTTATCCTTAGGACTTCTCAACAGCAAAAAAACCGTTTAAACACGTGCAAGGGTTCAAAATGTTTTAAAATTAGAAAATTTTAAGACACTATGATCAATACTAGAAGAAACCTAAGACGAAAATGGAATTTTTGTTATTTTTTAAATCTTTTTCTATTTTTAAATGTCAAAAATTAAAAAAAAAAATTTTTTTAACGTTTCATTTTACGGGGATTAATTTTGGTTCATTTTAGGCAGCCATAAAAATAACGAATAACTCTTAAATAAATCAGAAATGGACGTTTATTTTTTTTTCGTTCTACAATGGTGATTTGTTTATGTGTATAGGGTCTAATAAAAATGGAGTTAAAAGGGATATTATTAAATTGGACTAATGGAATAAAAATTGCTTCAAAATTATGTATCCGATTCGTGAATCCACCAAAAATTTATAATTTACTTCATAAATTTTTTAATGTATTGCAAGAGTAACTGAGAGAACCCATAGGATTCTCGATTATTTAGAGAAAAATTTTCATGTAGTTATAGCCTTGGATTCGGTCTGTAATACTTAGTGCTTAGTTGTTATTGCTGTTGAGGCAAGGTGAATAACAAAAATAGAAAGAAACAGAAAAATTAAGTAAAACAACTTTTATCTTTTATGTTACTTTGTTTGCAAATTCTACTTCTTTTATTGTGCCTTAGAAATCTTAGATAGATATTTAAACGATTTTTTTCTCTGAGCTAATAATTGTCGACAAACAAAACACGTTGGGTGTTGCTAATGAGGGTGTTAGCAAAATTAAAAATCGGTTAAAGAATACAATCGTCTTTATGACCATCTTTGAACGAAATTTTCATTACTAAACACTGGTTATATGCGACGGCAAACAACTTTGGAAAGCCTAGATATGAAGACCTACAAATCCTAAACATTCAGTGAGGTTTCGAACAGATACAACATTTTATTTATAACTACCATACTTGCATATTGTAACATTAGAACTTTAGATGATTTACATTAAAATAGTGAATCTTTTCGTTTAACCAATATGCTCAAATAAAATTTTATTTACCACAATTTCTATATTAATCTATAAACTCATTTCCAATCATCATTATTAATTTAGAAAGGCCACGAAAATTAACGAACAAGGAACAAAGAAAAATACTGAAAATCAAAATAATATTTTTTTCCTTAACAATACCTGTTTAATTTTAATCCTTAATATTATAAATTAAATTGAAAAATTACCAACTATATACACAATACTACCGTAGCAAAAATAAACTCCTTCAAAATGAGTCATTGATCGTCTTATAGATACAAATAAATTGTTATTCAGCACAATTCATTAAACAAAGGGTCCTAAAGGCTCTCGAAACAATGCAACAGTATTATTATTGTAAAAAAATTTTGAAATTAAATAACAAAAAACTGCAACCTTTTTATTTTACAAAAAAAAAATTCCTTTTTTTAATTTTAACAAAAAAGTAGATTATAAATCGAACAAAATAAGAAAAAGAGCAAAAAGAAATTGGAATGGCTACGTTTACATAAGCAAATAAATTTAAGTTTGGATTGTAATTATTTGAGTAAAGCAATCCAACTCTGTATTCTGTTCCGAATTGACCCATAATATGTAGTTGTACCCATAGCCATGCGCCAGGTAGTTTTGAGTTCTTATTTCTAAAGTTTTGAAAATAACAAATTTCTAGTTTATAAAAGTATTTCTAGTATCTATGGGAGATCTCTGAGGATTCTCAAATGGTGTCTGAATATCCACATAACTCTTATGTTACTTTTTTGGTTGCAGTCGAAAAGTCACTCCTTGGATTTGAAACTCCTGCTCGCTTACCACCTCGCTATCTCAACTCACCTTCTACGTTGAACCTATGCAGAAATAAGTCATATTTATAATCAGAATTTACAACACATTCACATCTTTTTTGTAAAATAAGAGCATTAGTGAGCCACAAATATGATAAACGCAATACACTTTTATTCTTTCAATATCATGTAAACGTAATAAAAATTGAAATTGAAAAAAAATTTTGAGTTAAGAATCATGTTCAGTCTTGTTTTCAACATGAAATTATTGTAAATTTTTTACAATAACCGAAAAACTCATAATATTGCCGATTACTCTGTATTCCATAAATTTCTTTAAATTTTTAAAAATAACAAATTTAATCTTGAAATTTCTTCAATTAAATATTTTTTCAACATTTCTTCATTGAAAATTTTTATTTGACATCAAGAAACTTTGTGTTTAACCAGGCAATTACAGTCTTGTACGTACACATGTGCTTAAAGTCATGTTCAACTTTAAATTTTCAAGAAAAATATTAGACGGAAAAGCCATACCGCCTAAGGTTAAGGTACTAAAATTCGAAGTTTTAAGCCCTTAATATTTAACAGTTTTTTAAACGCTTAATCACAAGTTAGAAATCGCAATAAATTTTTTAATTTATCTCGGAATAGATGACTTTTAAATTTTAAATTCTTTGATTCATAATACACGTATTGGTAAAACCACATTTCGTGATTTAAAACTCACTTTAACCATAATATTGTGTAGATCTCCGCTTTTGGTCGCTTACATATTAAGCAAACCTATTTGAGAAAGTAAAGGGGGTGGATGAATACCTGTTTCATTAATATGCAAAATATTAAATTTTGGTCATTTCACTTAACATGCTATCAACGTAACCTAGTTAACAAAATTATTAAAGATTACTTCGCTTCATTTAGCCTTAAAAATTAAAAAAAAAAATCACAGGCACACAAACAGTTCATAAACATATTCCAATAACAGACCAGCAAGAGATTTTAAAAATCAAGTTTAATGTGAATTCTTTTATACATATACTTTGAACTATTCACGCATTAACATACATACATATGTACATATAAGTATATGTATAACTATAGTGTAGGTTAAAAAATCTCAATCAAAACAATGAATATTTCGTCTTACACACAAACTCATATATCAATATTTCTCTAATTTTATGATTTATCCAAAAAAAATATTACCTTATACCTTATATTATTATAACATGTTTGAACAAGATAGTGTAAACATTTTTGCATCAAAAACACCTACCCTTTTTCTCGTATTTCATTGGCTGAGATTTTACAAAGTGCAACAATAAACTGAGAGTAAACGAAAAGAAGAAAAAAAATTTAATTATTATTATCTCTCATTCTCTTCGAAAAGGTCATATCTATACTGCACGTTGCTATCTATAAAGTAAAAGTGCAAGGCTAAGGATCAATTAGTTTTAAAATATACACGAAGCAGTAAACATCTTAAAAATTAAGAAAAAAATCACTCAAAATTTAAAAATAATAAAATCAAAAAAATTTATAAAAAAATATTTGGGAAAAAATGATGGATAAACGACAAAAAAAATCTTTAACTGGATTGAGAAAATTTTTAAAGCCACTTTTGCGTGTGCTGAAAAAGAAACGTTGTAATGACAGTATACTTTGCGAAATTTTGGATAACAAGTACAATTCGTCTTTGGAAGACATGGAAAAAGTTAACAACTGTTTTGAGAATAAAGAAGAAGAATACGATAATTTAGCAAATGAAATCTTGGAGCAAAAATTAATTAATGAATTAAGAAAATGTGAAGAAAATGATGCCATATGTGTTTATAGATCAAATGATAAAATGCATGTTGTACCAATTCCACGTGATGAAACTTATGTACCAGTACATTTTGCGAAAACATTTGAAGGAACATTTTTCTGGACGTCAGTCAATACGACAGTAATGCCCATAGGACCATGTTCAGCTGAAATTAAACCAAAATTAAATGAATTATTACTGTCAGATAGATGGGCTCAAGCATAAAAAGCCAATCAACATTTATAAAAAAAATACCCATTTCGACCTCAAATATCGTATTGCATATTTATTTAAAGATAGCTTTAATTAAGGAACTCGCATTTTATTAAAATACATACGTCTGGTGATATAGTTGTATTATTCGGAGAGAAATATTAGACTTCAAAATTTACAAGAAAAATATTTTATTTAAAATCGCATAAAAAATTCTTCCAAATTGTGTTCGTTTAGAAATTTTTGTGATTTAAATAATAATGTAAATATTAATCTTAAGTTAATTATAGTGATTTAGAAATAGATTTAGATTTAAGAATTGTCTTCCAAAATATGTCTGAGCTATAAAATCAAAATATATATGTACATATATTTACATATATTTAATTAAAGAAAAAAATATTACAGTAATTTTTTTGTTTCTCTTTTTCTTAGAAATATTTAATTTCTTATTATTGAAGTTTTCAGATTATGTAAAAGAGCTGCGATAAACTTTTCGATGAACTTTTTTCAGGAGGTCCAATGAGGCAGTGTATGTAGTTTTTGCTACTTGCAAATTATTGGTCAAAAAGTTTGAGTATTCTGGGCCCAAACTAACTAAATTTTAGAATTTAAAATTGTAAAGATGTTGCGTGTTACTTCTTAAAACATTCCGGAAATCCTACCTACATGCAAGTTCTATGATATGCCTACTTATATGTTAATTATATGGCTTGTAATTACACATCGTTTAAAATAACATGATTGAACTTTTTTGAACAATACTTTTCACATTCTTGTTAAAATAAAAATGGCATGACTTTATAATGAGAGTACCGCTGCTGACTCCTGTGTTTGTGAAGAAAAGAACAATAACTTGCCATGAAAAAATATGAATTGAAAGGTAACAATTTCTAACCCAATCCTTGGTGATACATTAATTCAATTTATTTCAATATGAATTAAAACTTAACAATTTCTAACCTAACCATCACTATATTAATCTTTGTTTGTTCTCTAAGCCTAAATAATAAGGTGAAGAAATGTATCTGCTTTTCACCAAAAGTATTTTACTTAACATTACTACGTGTTCCAATCAACTCACTTAATGGAATCATCAAATACGCTTAGCAATAGATTTAAGGACCTTAAATTTTTTGTTTCTAATTGGATATGTCAAGTAAGAATTATTAATCAACATTACTTAACAAATTTGAGTAGCGTCCCATTAGAAAAAGCGAAGTCAGAGACATCTTCTGGGTGCCAGTTGCATAACAATTTTTGTCAAGAAGAGGTTTTTGTCAAAAATAAACAATAGCCTTAATTCCAAGGATAACAACTAGCAATATAATAAAACACCAAGCTGTTTTGTATAGAAATCTTAGTGTGATATAGAAAAAATGTGTATAACTACCGATGTACCCAGAAATTTTATTCGTAACTGGAATTTTATAGATTAGATTCTTACATGTCCCTAAAAAATATATTCTATGCTGACCACGCCAAAGATTTTCCTTGCATAATATGATTTTTTCAAAGGAGACAATAAAGAATTTACATGGAATATGAGAAAAATGAGTTCATGTCCAGCATACGTACATTAGAATTGTAAAATAGAAAATATTGTACAGCATATTTTTATAACATTTGAAAAATTTATTTGATTTTATAGAAAATTTTCAGTAGAATAGCTGCTATTCTCATCTTTTACTATTTTAAACAAAAGAATGACAAAGAGACCCCAGATGAAATATTATAGAAAAACAAAATAGATTCATTCATTCTATAGGGCACAATTTTCAAAATCCTTTGTTTTTCCTTTCATTTTCATTTTCTTGCGGTTCGTAAACTCTCACATTTTCAAATTCGTCATGCTACATAAAATTACATTTTATGCATTTGTTTGGATCCAAACAAAAAAAAAAATAACACAAAACATTGAAAAGCATTTAAGTGGATTTCTGCATTAAATTTTATTACCTCGTCTTGGTACCACGAATGCAAATTCACTTAAAACAGTTACTTGTATATGTAAAATTGTACAAGAACAAAAACCCTAAAAAAAAACGCATTTAATAAGCTGCAATGTACATTTTAGAATTTTTTGATATCATAAAGCATAACTCGTATATTTTATGTAGTCCCTGAAGTAAAGAATCATAATTCTTCCATACTATGTGAGTACAAAACCGCAACTGAAAATTGAATTTAAAATATAGAAAAAGAACTGAATACAAAAAAAAAATGCTTTTTTTTTTAGAAAATTATGGTGAAATGCTTACGGTTTTATGGAAAATTATTAGGTGAAGAAAGAGAAAGGACTATACAACAAAAATTATGCCTTATTGCAGTTATATACGGACTGATACTCAGAGAAAATTTATTTTTGAAATATTAAAAATTTATAGAATAATATTTTGTGATCAGAATCAGACTCACTAAATAAACAATATGATTTACAAAGTGTCACACTTATAACAAAATAGGAACAACTATTTTAGGAATTTTTATGTAAATATGGAAAGGAAATCTGCATTAAATTCTTTTACTTTTTATGAAAGGCTTTTACGGTTTCTGAATAACTTTTTAGAAATGCCATTTCTTATAGTGTTTCTGGTTTGATACCTTTGAAATGATACTAAAGTTCAGAGAAAAAGATACAAAAAAAATATACATAATGGGAACCGAAACCTTCTTATAGAAAATCTGAAAAGGAGATTTTTTAACTGTGGTCAATCAACATTAATAAAACGATTAACGATTAATTAAATTTCAATTTAACAAATCAACATCATTATTTAGGTGAGAATACATCAAGTATTGCGGGAGTTTATAAAATTTCAATAGGGATTAAAAAATTCTGAATAAAAATAGAAAAAAAATTTATTCACATTCAAACTCACACGCTCGTTTCTCAACTAAAAAATTTTTTATCTTTGCTCTGAAAACTCTTACATTTCAGTAAATTTTATCTTTTTTCATAACAACAAAAAAAGCAACAAAAAAAAAAAGAAAATTCATAATATCTTTTTTTTTTTATAAAAAAAAAACACGGTAACTTTTTAACAATTCGGGTAAAGTGAATTTATTTGGCAAAGCTTTGTTCAATTTAAAAATTTTCTCGACTGTGAAAATTCGATTGAAGTTATAATGAAAATACAAAAAAAAAAATAGCTTTTACTTTTTATATTCACTTACAAAAATGGCAAATACAGGAGAGAAAATAAAACAGAAATTCAAAAAAAAAAAAATAAAAAGAAACGTTCTTTATAGGTAAAATGGCTAAGCGTTACTTTTTTTTTTTTATCACGTGCAAAGTTAATGGTCCGCGTAATTAAATCGAAAAATTTATTTACTTTAGTACACACAATACCGTGTCAGGTAACAAGAGAAATGTTGAACATCACATCTTAATGGAGTTTTGGGTTCATTTCTGAAAAAAAAATAAATATAAAAATGAAAGCCAAAATAATGAAAAATTTCCAAAGGACATCATTTTATTGATTTTAAGTTAAACAGACAAAGGTTTCATTTTAAAGAATATACGGAGGGAAAAGTCCAAGTCATGTTTTGTTATTTATTCTGTCAAATTCTATTATAAAATATTTTGTCTATACCTAATTGAACATCTTCGTTTCACTATTATTGAGGTGAAATTATTAGAAAATTATTATATAAGAAGATTTTTCTTTTCATACTTTTCAGTACTCAAAATTATGGTTAAATAAATTTATTACTGTCTATTATTATAAAGTTATACAAAATAATTAATATAACAAATTTTGAATTTCACACACAAAAAAAATTGGCCCAACATAATTCAATATTAGGACTCATTGTTTGAACTCAAATGATTTCTAGAAGAAAGTTATTCCATGCAGGAAAGGAAACACACCGTGATACAATACTGAGGAGTTTCTCAATTTTCTATCAAGAATTTTCCGTTCGACATTTATTTGACTATGGCATATGCAATTAATAAAATTATTTATATTAATATTAATAAACAGATGGAAACAAATTTTTACTGTCAATATACAAAAATGAGCTTAAAAACTTTGGGAATGTTTTGTACTTCACATAGTCAGCACACTGTACAGAATTTTTACCATAACGCTCATTTCTATAATTTCCTGCCATAAAATTGAATTGATTTTTAAATACATATAAATTGTGTTAAAATACAAGTTACTGAAATAGAATAGAATTCAATAGAACTCCACTGAATTTCAAAAAGCACCAATAAAACTTATGGTATGTATTTAATTAAGCACATATATTTTAATTTATTGAATAAAAAATTTGAAGCACAAGTCAATGATTTATGTAAAGGTGCTTTATTAAGTCAGTGTGAAATAATAAGAAAATCGTATAAGTTGTTCTCTTCTCACTTAAACAGCATAAGACCATGGTATTTCCACATCATATCTGTACATAGCACTCTAGATTCCACAAAACGCTGGTATTTTTTTACGATATCTTTCCAATTTTTTAACAATTTTAAGAATGATTTTGTTTTTGATTCATCTTGTATATAAGAATGTTTCTATATAATTAATATTATGTACGAGGTTTTTTCTCTGCCAATTTACTACACCAATGCGGCTGAAACGGAAAAACACATACTTTCCAAAATAATACCATAATAAAGTATCATTTCAATACGAAAATTCCCGTTTCTTTTCAATCTTTATAAAATAACTTTGGTTTAATTGTGTTTGATCAAAATCACCTTAGTCTTCGTTCATTTTGCCTCAAGTATGTCACGGACAAAGTACTCCTCTCATCATTACTTGAATTATTAGTAAAATTGTAATAAACATATTATTGAATCTAGAAACTAAAATTAAAGAGAATTACTAAATATTTAAATAATGGAACCAAAAATTTTATTAGTATACACACGTGAGTCGAAAAAAATGAATTTTCTTATTATTAAAATTTTTTATTAGCTTTATCACTTCAACGATCTTGTAAGTAATGCAAATTTAAATGAATTTTTTTTTCTAATAAATTTTACACCGTTTATAAAT